ACCCAGTTTCTGCTTAACCCAGTTTCTGCTTAACCCAGTTTCTGCTTGAATAAACATCTTCCACTTGCCTTAACCCTGCCTGCCTCCTGATTCTTTCTCCCTCGTCAGGAAAAACGTTCCTACACCCACCCAGAGCACCTTTTGTGCCCTTGCCACCTTTAGTGCTTCCTCCAAATGTTGTTCAACATGTTGGAGTCCTGATTCATCAGTGGAGCAAGAATGGTATGTAGTTATCAGCAGAAGCTTTCCTTGTCCATGTTTAACCTGAAACCATGAGATTTTGTGGGGTCCACAGTCAGTGTTGAGGACTCCCAGGGAACTCGCTCCTGACTGTATACGACTGTGCCTCCACCTCTACTAGGTCTGTCCTGCTGGTGAGACAGGACATATCTAGGAATGCTGATGATGGTGTCTCATTCATTGTCTGTCAGGTATGATTCCATGAGTTAGCTGTTGCTTGACCAGTTTGCAAGACAGGTCTCAGAATTTTGGTACTAGCCCTCAGATGTTAGTAAGGAGGTCTTTGCGGGGTCAACAGGGCTGTTTCTGCCATTGTCTTTTCTGGTGCATAGGTCAATGCCAGGTGGACCGTCCAGTTTCATTTCTTTGTTGAGACTTCCGAGTGATTGATACAAATTGGTGGCTGATAGGCCATTTCAGAGGGCAGCTGAGAGTCAACCACATTGCTGTAGTTCTAGAGTCACATATAGATCAGACCCAGTAAGGATATCAGATTTTCTTCCCTGAAAGGCATTAGTGAGCCAGATGGATTTTTCCAAAAAGTGACCATGGTTTCAGCAGATTCTTAATTCCAGATTATTTTTTTTTAATATTGAAATTCAAATTCCACCACCTGCCATGGCAGAATTTGAACCCAGGACCTTGGACATTAGTTGAGTTTCTGGATTAATATTCTAGCAATAATACCACGAGGCCATTGCCTGCCCTGCTCAAAGAATTATGTGAATTTCTTTCTTGTCAACGTAAAAGTTCTAATTTAGCCTTTCATTAAAAATGAATGTGACAAAGAGGAAATTGTAACACTTGCTCTTACTTGGGCTGTTCAACAGATTTGGAAATGTGCAACTGATTTCTGAATTAATGGAACGTATCTATCCCATGTTGGTCAGTAAGCACCTGCGTCTAATTAAGATTGTCATTACAGCCAATACCTCAAACTGTATGATTGTCTACAGCAGTCATCTGCGAACTGTATCACGTGTATCAATGATGTTCAGTTTTGGGGGCAACCAAGAAAGTGTTTTCATCTAGATAGTATCTAATACTGATACTTGGCAGCAGTTGAACTTTGGCAAGATAAATGGCTACCATCAGATAGATTATGAAAACTGTGGAGGTATCACAGCCTTGCTTGACACCAGTCTGGATGTTGAAAACGACTGTTTCAGATCACCCATTCAAGACAGCTGCATTCATATAATTTACAAGTAATGCGGGATTGTAATGAAATTTCTTGGACATCGTTGAAAAAATAAATGGGTGAAGGTCCTTGAAAGAGGGCAGGGGAGATGTGGACAGGGTTGTTTTAGTTAAAAGGTTAGGATGCAAATGCTGAGGTTGTTCTCCTTAGAGCATAGATATGTTAGAAGTTTGAAAAGATTATGTCAGGCTCAGATGAGATAGGTAAAGAACAACCCTTCCATTATTTGATGGTATTACATGTAGGGCATATAAATTTAAGATTCTGAGCTAGAAACTTATGAGGAATGTGAGGAAGAACCTTTTGATGTAGCAAATCTTCATGACCTGGAACTGGACGTCCACAATGACTGTGAGATTGAAACCAATAATTTGAGAAGGGAATTGGATGGAAACAAACAAACATACAGAGCTAAAGGGGGTCAGTTGGAGAAACAGGACTGAGTGGATCACTTTGCAAGGATTCAGTGGGCAGTTCTGGGGAAGGGTCACTCGCCCCAAAACGTTAACTCTGATTTTTCTGCACAGATACTGCCAGACCTACTGACCTTTTCCAGCAATTTCTAATTTTGATTCACTGGGCTTAAATGGTCTCCTTCTGAATCACACACTTCGATCAGTCAATAAATCCAGAATTCCTGGTGTGGCTGGACATTTTTCTTCGATTTATCCAGCAAAAAGAAACCATACCATAATGGGACAACCCCAATATTAACTATAACAAGAACAAGGGTCACCAGATCCGAAACGTCAACTCTGACTTTTTTTTCCTCACAGATGCTTCCAGACCTGCTGAGCTTTTCCAGCAACTTCTGTTTTTGCTTCTGATTTACACCATCCGCAGTTCTTTTCAGTTTTTGTCCAATATTAACCACACTTGCCTTGGGCTTTCCTCGGGGGTGAAACGGCCCGCGCTGCTATTGGATGTTCCGGTTGCGTTGTATGATTGACGGGCCGCGAGTACCCCAATGGGCAATAGGTAGGGCGGAACCTCCGCTTAACCCATTCATAAGTTTTGTAAAATCGTAAAGACACGAGACTTTCGAAAGGGGCGGGGGCATGAAATTTAAATAACCGCCAGCGGCAGCGCGCGCTCTGTCACGTTCGCCCGCGCGCCCTCCCGCAGCCGAGGCCTGAGGGCGGCGATGCGGCGCTATTGGAGGGCGGCGCTGCTGTGTTCGGCTCTGGCCTTCATCATCTTCTATGTCTTCAACGAGATTGCCAGGGCCGAGGACGGAGTTCGAGACGCGGCCGCTGCGGATGGCAGAGGCCCAGCTCGAGGGCGGGCACGGGCCGGGGGCCTGACGCCCAACAGGTAAAAGGAACGGAGGCCTCGCTAGTCAGCGGGAGCCCTGGCACCGCTGGGATGGCAGCATCAGTGAGATAGAGCGCCCGCGGTAGGAGCGTCTCCTGCAGGCCCGGCGGGTAAAGGCACTTGTGGGGTGCAGAGGTCAACGTGCTTTACTCCCGAGAGTTTTTGAAAAAGAATTAAATTTGCAGTCCAGCCCGAACTTGCAGGGAGTACATGTGCAATTCCCCCCGAGGGTGCGGGGGTAAACCAACAAACCTCCACCCCGGAGCGTGCAGGGGGTAAACCTGCAAGATGCCCCCCCCCCCCGGAGCGTGCAGGGGGTAAACCTGCAAGATGCCCCCCCCCGGTCGCCG